AAGGGCAGGGCAATGTAGAGCAAGTTACAGTAATCCAGCCTGGCGGTGACTGTTGCATGGATTACCATGGGTAGGTCAGGGCATGACAGGAAAGAGGCCAGTAGCCATGCTTGGTGCAGATGGTAAAACACCAATCTGGCTGTATTTGTGACCTGCACCTCCATGGTTAAGAGGGCATCCAGAGTCACACCCAAATTCCTGACAGAGTGCACTGGTACCAACGGTGCCCCGTCAAGAATCAGGAGCCTGACCCTCAACCCCACAGCCCCTCCCCAGCCACAGAACCTCCATCTTCCCCGGGTTCAGCTTCAGCCTGCCATCCTGCCACAGCCTCCAAACCCTCAGCCAGATGTTGCAGGGCAGCATCCGGGTGGCCGTCCAAGAGCAGATACAACTGGGTGACACTCAAGCCTGAAACTCCGAGCCAGTTGGGTGAGGGAGTGCATATAGATGTTAAATAATATCGGGGAGAGGACTGCCTCCTGAGGAACCCCACATAACAGTGGGTACCTAGGGGACATCCCCCCCCCCGCACTACCCCCCATACCCTACCATGGAGAAATGAGAAAGGCCATTGCAAGGCTACACCACGTATCCCCATGTCAGCGAGGCTGTTGGGTCAAGAGGTCATAATTGACCATGTCGAATGCTGCCGTGAGATCAACAGCAGTGCAGACCCGCCTTGATCCAGCTGCCTACGGAGGTTGTCTGTTAAGGCGACCACACTGTCTCCGTCCCATGGCCAGGGTGGAAGCCAGACTGGAATGGATCCAATATATCACAATATTAACACTGTGAAAGTAGCTTTTTCATTATTATGGATAATAAATCGTGAAACACCTCAGTTATAACACCTAAAGTTTAGTTTTAGTTCCTCTAAAGAAAATCTACTAATACCCATAGAAGCCTGCCTGCATGAAACACAAGAGAAATAGTTGGTTTGGGTATTAAGCCTTCATTCACTGTGCATATTGTATAGTGAAGACTTCAGCACCTCACTTTTCTCTCCCCTCCCCTTACTGCATACATCTTACATTTCAAGTTTGCTTCAATTTTACTTTCTTGTTATTAACTTCCTTTGCTGTATTTGTCCTGCTTCTGCTCTAAATGATACCAGAAAAAGGAAGCCATTGGACTTAAAAAAATATCTCTTACTTTTGTGTCGTCTTTGTAATTTATATCCTTTTAATGCCCAGGGCTGTAGGACAAGGTCAAGTGGTATTAAGTTTTCTGTAATGTCCTTTGTCTTTCTGGTTTGAATTTTCTTTTTTTTAAAAAAAGACAAAGACCACCAGTGAAATGGAACCTATAGAATAACAGACAAGTCTGTCTTGTGTATGGGACCAGACTTTTAGTTCTGAAAGGCAAATAAGACATCTAGTCTCCCATGTTATAACCCATAGAGACTGCAGTCCAAAACACAATTACCTGGGAGTAAGCCCTGTTGAATATAGTGGGACTTACTTTGAATGCTAAATGTATCTTTCACCCTATGCCAATATAGCTTGGAGTTACACAAGTGTAGAATTTACTCATCATCCTAAACTCTTCTGAGCTGCTTAGGATGGGCCACTAAATTGCTGGCCTATCTTGAAAGCTGAGGGAAGGTGGAAATATTTTCTAGAAGCAAAACACAGCATGTAAAAATTGTGAACAGGATGTGAGCTACCCCCCCCCCCCCCACACACACACACACAAACACTTCCACTAAAGGCCTGCTTTCAGAAGATGTTCATGGTCTGACAAATCCGCATAAGAATGCCAGTGTTAGTAAATCTTAGGGCACAGATGTTATTGTAAATGAGGGCAGAAGTGTGTGTGAAGGAATGGGACAAGGCGAAAGAAATGAAAACCACAAAAGAAGAGCAAGCTTCAATGTGTAATTCACAAATGATTCCTCAGATGATTTGATATTCTTTTCCTTCAGTTAATTCTTTTACTATTCTCTGGAAATCTCTCTTTGGAGATGAGTACATTTTGTAGTTTTTGAAGGCTGGTCTCTAATACTTTATATTTTCTGTGCCCTTCCACAAAGAGGTAAGACAAGAACCATCAATAACACCCCAAATCCTGTCTTCTGACTTGCTAACCGTGCTTTCCTCTTGTTGGATGTCTTTTAGGAGGTAGAATTTTTTTCACCATGATGTTTTCTTTCATGTGGATTCATATTTGAGCATAATGCCACTGGTGCAAGCTGAATTGCTTAATCGAATATAATCACCACGTATTTGACAGAATCCTATGGATCTTCCAACTGTGACACTTTGCTTTGACTCAAGGAGGCTTTCATTGTCACAACAAGCTCTGCTTCTAGCACAAGAGTCTCTTGCATCAGTGAAGATTCCTTGTGCCAGAGAGAACTACTTTTAGATGAATTGATTTATAGGATCCAATCCTTTATCTTATTGCTTATTTATTAATAGCAAAGCCTATACTTTCTGTATCTTTCTGAAAAAGGTTAACATTTCAAGAAAACCATTTCATTCATGCATAACAGGATGCAAATGAGAAACTCAGTAAATGTAAAAGGACGTTATGTTTTGGAAGTAGATAGGGCAAAGCATGTGACCTAATGCATTTAAGAACTGCCTGCACAGAAAGCATGTTTTGAGCCCTTCCAGTGCTGTGAGTTAAAATGTCGTAATTTATTTATTTATTTTATTTATTTATTTTCACATTTATATCCCGCCCTTTCCCGAAGGCTCAGGGCGGCTAACAGGGGCACCAAGTGCAATGCAAACAGATGGTGCATGGATCAAGATTCTCTAGTTACTAATCTCTCTGGGTAGGGTTCTTCTTAATACTAAACTTAATACTAAACAATTATCTGTCTCCAGTTTGGTGTAGCGGTTAAAAGCGGCAGATTCTAATCTGGAGAACTGGGTTTGATTCCCCAGTTCTGCACGTGCAGCCAGGTGGGTGACATTGGGTCAGTCACAGTTCTCTCTGAGCTGTTCTCTCAAGAGCAGTTATCTCAGAGCTCTCAGCCCCACCTACCTCACCAGGTGTCTGTTGTGGGGAGAGGAAAGGAAGGAGATTGTAAGCTACTCTTGGATTTCGAGTGAAGAGCGGGGTATAAATCCAACTCTTCTTCTTCCTGCAGTCTAACTAGGCTACAACAACTTCAATCTGAGGACAAACATTAAACAGAGAGAAAGTATTTTATGATCCAGAGGCCCAGCTAGCTTGCAGAAAATAATGGGTTCCCCATTTACCCCAATTCTATCACTAAAGAGGAAGAAGAGCAGCACCTTCTTCAGAGAGAGACTATGGCTCAGTGGTAAATCTTCTGCTTTGTGTGCAGAAGGTCCCAGATGCAATCCTGAACATCTCCCATTTTAAAATGATGAGGTGGTAGATGATGTGCAAGATCTCTGCCTGAGGCCAGACCTATGGTCAAACAGCGTAGAAAGTAATGACCTTGATAGACTAATGGTCTGATGTGGTACAAAGCAACTACTGCGTTCAAGCACCAGTGCATGGTTTCAGGGAAGAGGCTGACTTTGTTGTTTCTGTCCCAGTGGCACAATTACTCGACAGTGTGATAGAGAAACTATGCTTTCCATGGAAGTCTACTCCTTTCTAAGGAGGCTTGCCCTCACTACCTCTGAGAACTGCTTCTCTTATGGTATTGTACGAACCTGATCAGTATTGTCCAGTTTGAAACAATGTCAGTTTCCTTCTAGCTCCTTGGATATTTAACAGGCACTCAATTTAATTTCAAAATACACACATGTGCTTCAGTGTTCGTTGCATATTTCTGCAATACTTATCCCCTGTTTATGCTTCCATTATTAAAAGTTGAGAAAACCAAAGAAGGGATCACAGTACAGGAAATACATCAACACAAAGAAACACTGTGATGCAATTGACAATAACATTGAATAATTCCTATAAACATCAATAAAAACTTATGCAATGTAGCTCAGGAAATTCTAACATATTCAAGAAAAAGTCCACCATCCTCTATGAGCACCCGGTTTGATACTCATTTCAAAAATCTTCCTCAGGAGTAGTCCTGTTATCTTAGAAGGTGTCAGCCTCTTGATACAGTTTAAATACTTCTTTTGCTTCCTTCAAATAGTAGCAGCATTAACTTCTTTTTTACTTTCTTCAAATTATTGCAGGTTAACTACTTTTTCAAATTATCCTAAAACAAACATGATTATTTAGAACAGAAAGAAACATGAAGCTGAATGGAAAATAGTTTTGTTCTCATTTATAAATTTATGAAAATTATTACTTTTTAACTTCAACCATTTTAAACTTACTTCCAGTTCCATTTCAAGTATTTGTACTAGGAGCAAGCCAGTTAATTAATTTCTTAATAGTAGCAACCAGTCCTCTTTAAAAATAAAAATAAAAATCTGGCTAGAGCCTTCTCATTTCAAATTGGCTGGCAAATGCTCTCTATCTCACATTGCTGCCTCAGTTGCTCTCTAGTAGATTATAGGAGTAACATTTCAGTCTTTTTTTCTATCTGGCTGAAGGCCTTCTTAAATAAGCTGACAATTGCTCTCCACCTCTCAGGTTGGAACTGAAACTCTCAAAAAACTATTCTGATTGATTCCATGCAGCTGCAAGTTACATGCTTCTTTCTTAAAGGTAAAGACCATTGACAAGGTTACCAAAGGCTGAACCCCTATATGTAATACATTCACTTCTAAATACTTTTGTGAGTAATCGTAAATGAACTGGGCTCTATTTAATTATCTTATAAATCCATTTTCAATTATTACAGGTTAACATTTCTTTTTCTACTATCTTCACATTATCTTGGAAGCCAACATGGTCCTTGAAATGAAAAGATACATGAAGCTGAATGGATTGTTGCTAATATTAATTTCTTTGTAATTTATAACTTTTAACTTGCTTCTAGTTCCATTATTGTTTATAATGGTAGCACATAAGACCTCTTTTCTGCCTGGCTAAAAGCCTTATTAAAAGGGCTGTTGCCACATTCTTCTCTAAACATGTTTTTTCTCTTTCTCTCTCTTTAGCTTGACACACCTTGCACCTCTTTTTTCATATCTGTCATTGGAAAAGCTAGATGTCAGCAACAACTGCTTGTTAGGTGAGTGGTTTCAAACTGTTGCTAGGGTTTTCAGTTGCTCTCCTGTAATGTGGAAGTGAGCTCAGTTGTTAAAATGTATACAAAATGAGACTTTAAATGTTTATTATGCAGTTTCTGAATACTATTGTTAAAGCTGTCATGCACAGAATTCCTGCTCCCCTCACCATTGGCTTGGATCCAAACTAGATTTTTCTGCAGGCGTAAGGATTTCTGCTCACAGAACACGGTCTTCCCTTCTCCCCCAGTCCACAGCAGCCTGAAATGCCCCTCCGAATTCTGTTCTGGGAAGAGATGGGACCCCCTACAGAACAGGATTTTAGGGAGGGGTATTTCGGCTGCTAGGTGGGATCATGCTCAGTGAATAGAAATGCTGCTCCTGAGGAAATGTTAGTCTATGTCAGGCTCCATAGCCAACAACGGAGAACACGCTTATCAGAAAGGTTATACTTTATTGAAGAGCTATAGATGCATTAACAAAGGCACTGTTAAGAATAGCGTCGCCCCTACAAGCATAATGGGATATAGGGTATTCGTATGTACCCCCCCTTCCTTGGGCCAATTAGCCACATTCCTGCGCGCGGGAGAAGGAGCCCCTGGCCGGTTGAGCCAAAGCTGGGAACCGACAGTGCTCCCGTGGTTCCCTCACTCCTAGACACCACACCACCTGCATTACTGTAGATAAGCAAGCGTTACAGGATAGAAGAAGCACAGAAGGAATGCCTCAGTACTTTGTACACAGGTCATCTGACCCCTCCTGCTACCATGGCAGCATAGCTGACAGTCTAGATCCAACCCATAATCTAACACTACAGGGTTGAGTTGCCCTTCCTTTGCTCCAGACTTCTTCTCTAGCTCAAATTCCTGCCACTCTTAATAAAGATATGTCCGGACAGTATCAGACAGTAACTAGATGACTCTTACCAGGATTTAAACCCAGGTCTTAAACTTCTGATTAACAGCAGTCACCATTTAGCATGAACCTTAGTTAAGGGTGGTGCCATTATAAGCTTCAATCATTAAGTCTGGTGGAACATGGTGAAATGGAAAAGGGTAGAAAGAGAAGGGGATGGAGAAGTATGCTCACAGTCCCAAAGTCTGTGCCTGTCATCACACAGAATAGCTCAGACTCTGTAGACACTTTATAGCTTCTACTATTTTTCATTTTCATCACTGTGGCCTCTGTGCAGTTGCACACGGGAAGTGTGTCCACACAGTGTAGTAGACTGATTACGCCTTCTTATTTAAACATTAGTATCATGCTTTTCCTCATGGTTCAAGACAGTTTACTATTATAGTTAAAAACGTTTTCAGTAAAAACCAAAATAAGATAGCAAACCTCAGATCTCTTCCCTCCCCCCCTTAAGAGATGCCCATCATTCAAACCCTCTCAGAAGACCCTGCAAACCGGACAGGCCTTGCAGCACCTCCCAAAGCTCTCCAAGGAGAAGGCCCCTCTCACCTCTTCAGGGAGCCTATTCCACAGAACTGGAGCCACAATGGAAAAGGTGTGGGCTCTGATCAGTGCCTGAAAGGCCACCCTAAGTGTTAGGATAGCCAAGAGATGGCTGCCTGACAACTGAAGTCGGCACACAGGGACATATGGAAGGAGATGGTTCTCGATAAGAGAATATTCCTCAGTCAAGAAAAAAGTCTCTTCAGGCATCTCCCAGTGTAACATGTACAAATAGCTTATTAGGTTGCCAAGTGTTTATGCTTACTTTCAAGCATATAGGAAATGAAAGAAAAGGTCTGTGATTTGATTTCCCCCAAATAAGCAGATGAAGTATGTTAGCATTTATTATTTATTTATATTAATTCATATCCTTCATTTTTATCTCATATTATTACAAAGTCTCTTCCAATATAATCAGTAGCAATAAATAATACAAAATTAAAAACTGTTGTAAAATCTATACAAAACAGTAACATGATGACATATTAAAAAACAGCCATAATGTTGTGATCATAGGTTAAATAGTGGGATTATCTCAGTTTATATTTCCCTTGTTCTTATCATATGCAGACCTTAAGAGTGTCATCCAATGGCTTAGTGGTTGTGAAAATCTAAGAGATTTATCCCTATATGGAAATCCACTTCTTCAAGAAGAGAACTGGAGGTAAGCAAATGAGATAAAAGTGATGTGACAAGGATGGCTGAGATTAGTTTGGGCTCCCTTAGGCTTAGTAATAAGGCAGGCTATAGCCCTTCCTGACTAAACTGGAGCAACTCGTTTCATTTCTTCCCCCCTCAAGAGTCTCTGTAAATAGTTTTAATTTCAGACAAAAGGAAAATTGTAAGGGGGGGCATTGATTTTCTCTCAGAGCAGCAATTTTTTTCTAGAAGGAATTGTTTACAGCAGTAATTCTTACTGCAAAAAAAAAAAAAGGTCAGGTTGGTGTTTTGGTATTTTAGGCAGGTGGGCAGTATAGATATAATAATTATGTGAACATCCCAAGGGTTCCCTTCTATCTTTGTCTTCCACCAAGGGTGAAGTCTTTACTGTTTTGATTGGCCTTCCCTCACTGACCCTCCTTCCAGTCATGTGTCTATGTGTTCATCTGTTTTGTTTTTAATTGTTTTATATCCATATGTAGTTATAAGGTTGTTTTAATATTTTTTATTGTTCGCCTCCTTGGATACCCTAAGTTGGGTTGAAAGGCAGCATAAAAATATTTTAAATAAAAAAATAAAAAATGCATTCTTTTGTTGAGATAGTTGAAAGCAGTTCCAGGGAAGAGAAGAAATTCATAGTTATCACTAGTTGGGTGTCAGTAGCTATGTAAAAAAATAGCCCAAACTTTTACTGTAAACCAATATGATCCTAGGGAAACAAGTTTTCCTGTTCTGTTCTGAAAATGAATGAAGTTTGGGAGTATCAAGCAGGGTGGGAGACCATGATTTTTCCCCAAGCTAATTTGCTTTCTGTGGCCCTTTCTTAGGACCATAGAGCATGATTTCTTCTGGTTTATTTAGTTTGTTCTCATCTTAAAGACAAAAGAAAGAATATCCACTCTTGTTCTGACCCAGTTAAACGTGAGGAGGTAGAAAACAAAGCCTATTTTTCTCACTATTTTTCATATATATGGTCATACTTAAGAATATTTCTTAACCTCATACATTAGCTGAAGAAATATTTTGGAGTTCTTTCACCTATGACTCAGACTGAAGGCATAACCTGTTTCATATGGATATGCTACTTGGGTTGCTTCCACAGGGAGTGCTTGCTTCACATCTCCCATCACTTCAACTGCAGCTATTTTATTTTGGCTTCTACATGATATCATCGTGCATTTATCTACTGTCCGGATTTTCCCTGGCACTGCTATAGGTTTCCGCAAGCAGGTTTAAGTGTGAATAGGAAGGGACAGATTTCCACCCAAATTCTTTGCCACATCTGCACCGTTTTGCTTCATGCCAGCCACCCCACCCCCCAGCAGGCTTTCCCCCCACTATTATTGTCACGGTCAGCTATTTGACTGGTAGATGGTGTTCTGCAATTTGAGATGTAGCCAAGCTCTTGGGAATTGCAGAGGTATCTTTGCAGGGTTCTTGCTGTTCCAAGCAACACTGTCTTCTGGAGCTGAGCTGGTGTTTTTGCTCAATCCATAATGTGCAGGTGTTTCTTGAGACTTCTAGGCACTGCTCCAAGGGCTCCAGTGTCAACTGGCACAAGGATAACCTTCTTCTCCCAGAAGCACTCTAACTCTATTTGTAGGTCCTTTTTGTGATCTCCTGTTTTTTCTTTTCTATTCTGCTGTCTCCTGGAATTGCAGTGTCAATGGTCCAAACTCTATTTCTCATTTTTTCCCTAAAATTGTGATACCAGGAGTATTATGCTCCAGGTGTTTATCTGTTTGTAATCTGAAGCTGAGCTGGTGTTTTTGCTCAATCCATAATGTGCAGGTGTTTCATGAGACTTCTAGGCACTGCTCTAAGGACTCCAGTGACAACTGGCATGATGATAACCTTCTTCTCCCAGAGGCACTCTAACTGTATTCGTAGGTCCTTTTTTTTGTGATCTCCTGTTCTTTCTTTTCTATTCTGCTGTCTCCTGGAATTGCAGTGTCAATGATCCAAACTCTATTTCTCATTTTTTCACCCTATAATTGTGTTATCAGGGGTATTATGCTCCAGGTGTTTACCTGTTCGTAATCAAAAGCTCCAAAGAATCTTTGTTTCATAATTTTCATGCTCTTGTCTGGTTTGTGTTCCCATGAATTTCTGGCTGATACTAATCCATGCTCTTGCAGAGATTCCAGTATAGCATAACCACAACTCTATTGTGATGTTTTTTATAGTCAGTTTGAGCAATTTTACCGACTGTTTCATCCTTTGTCTTGCAAAGTCAACATTTGCTGTTATCACTGGTCTTCTGAATCTTGGCTTTCATACTATTCGTTTTGAGTTCCTGCTCTTGTGCAGCTAGAGTGAGTCCTGTTTCTTTCTTCAAGTGCCATTTTGGAGCCACTTCCACGTGTTTTCACTCTCAGCTTTATTCTCTCTGTCTTTCAAATATTGCCCATGCAAGTGCTTTGCCTTCCAGTTGTCAAAGTGACTTGATTGCAATTTTTTTGTAATCTTTGTCGGTTTCTGTGGCAGAACCAGCCTGCTCTGGTCTGCAGGCCCTATTCTGCCCTGCCTTCCTAGGGGGTTCCCAACTCCCTGGAGGGGTTTTTCTTTCATTCTCAGGTAGCCCACCACTACCACATGATCATTGTTGGGATTTTCCATTGGGAGGATCAGGACTCCCAGCTTCCCTTCCAAGTTCAGAAGCTGTACGTAAGTGTCTCCCACTACCTAGCATCTGGTCATCAAGTGGACAGATTAATCCTTGGGTGCCCTTGGAGGAATAGCCACTTGCCAACTGCCTGCCTTCCTCCTGACAAGATAGCGTGTTTGAGACAGTGGAGGTTTATGTGGTACAGAGAACTGCTCCCAGCATCCAAAGTTATAAAGAAAAAGTTTACAAACTTAGCACAGCACCAGATTGTGCAAGGAATCCAGAAGAATTTGGTAAAAACAGAAGTTTTCTGTCCCTTTCTCTATATATGCCCTATGAGCTGTTAAAATATAGGATGGGCTTTTTAGCTAAGATGTTCTAGTTCTCTACAGAGTTACCATCTCTGGTATTCCACCCACTTGACCTCGGTCAGCCCAGGTCAAGGAAGCTTTTCCTGTAATTTTCAAAAAGTTCCTTCCTCAAGTCTCTCTAGAATTTGACACCCCCAACTCTCTGCTCCCTGCCTGAAGGGGGGGGGGGAGAAGGAGGAAGCTTGACCATCCCTTTTCTCTAGACCCATTATAGTGTTGCCAGGTCCCCGTGGGGTGTGGGGAAACCCCCGCTCGAGAGGCCCATTCCCCACCAGCCCGGATTGGGCCACCAGGGGAAACCCCACCCCCAAAGTGTGCGATGTGCCCAGCGTGAAGACATCACCCGGAGGTGACGTGATCGCATTGGGCACGTTGCGGGGGGATGCACTATTATTCGAGGGAAAACCCTATGGTTTTCCCTCAAATGATTGTGGCCCCGCCCCCAACATGCCCGAAACGATCACGTCACTTCTAGGTGATGTCATAGTGGCGCGCACGCAAAGCCCGCACACAAGAAGACTCCCAGGGAGCTTCGGGACTCCCCCCACTAAATCGTGAGTAACACTTGGCAAGCCTAACCCAGTAGCATCTGTATGAAGGTGGGCTGAGGTACAAACAAACTGACTTCCACCTCTGCCTAGAGAATAAAACACAAAGTGGAGGCTTTGCTCCGTGCCAACCTCCCAGGAGAAAATGAATTTCTTCATAGTTTCTGTAACCTTAAATAAATCTGCATTGTACACTTCAACTGAAAGCTTATCTTTGCTTTTCTTGGTGTAGTCATTTAGTGCTTGTTTTTCTTCTTCAAGAACTTGCTTAACTGTCAGGAGACTTCTTCCACCTCTTGGTAAATAAAGATGATCAACGTCACTTCTGGGGTGTAGTGAGTGATGCATTGTCATTATCTTGCAAGTTTTATGATCTATTGTTTCTATTTCTGCTTTTGAATTGATAATGCCAGTTGTGTATCTTAGAACTGGGACCACCCACATGTTAATTGCCTTTCCCAGTTTGGTGTAGTGGTTAAGTGCGCGGACTCTAATCTGGGAGAACCGGGTTTGATTCCCCACTCCTCCACTTGCAACTGCTGGATGACCTTGGGCATGCCATAGTTCTGATAAGAGCTGTCCTTGAAAAAGAGCAGTTTCTGTCAGAGCTGTCTCAGCCCCACCTACCTCACAGGTTGTCTGTTGTGGGGAGGGGAAGGGAAAGGAATTTGTAAGCTGCTCTGAGAATCCTTTGGATAGTCAAAGGCGGGGTATAAATCCAATCTCTTCTCTCTTCTTCTTCCCATGTTGCCTCCATTTAATTTTGTTCACAGTATCTTTTTAACTTTTTGGTAATACTCCTTGGTTATATTTTTCTTATATTTGATGTTGTCAGCTTCCAAAATTCCAAGATATTTGTAGTTTTCTTCAAAACCCAGTGTTTTGATGTTCTTGTTTGGCATCTTGATTTCTTCTGGTTCAATGCTCTTTCCTCTATTCAGTGCTAATGCTGCACATTTGTCAAGGCCAAATTCCATTACTATATCTTTTCTGAATATTCAAACTGTATTTAGTAAAGTATGAATCTCTGATTATGACTTTCCATGCTTTATAGTATTATTATTATTATTATTGTCACAATTATTGTCACAGTCATATATTTGACAAGTAGATTGGTGTTCTGCAGTTCAAGATCTAGCCAAGTTCTTGGGAATTGCAGAGGTATCTTCACAGGATTCTGTTGTTGTTGTTGTTATTACCACTTCTCTCAGTAGCACTACTATTGCTGCTGCAGTGTTAAAAAACTATCACAATGAGAATAAAAGGGGAATTGCCCCTTGCAGAAGGAGTCTTAGTTATTTTTATATGTCTTTGCTGTCTGCAAGGTATCATTTCAAAGGCTAAAAGAATTAGATTTCTAAAGAATGGGGCACACTTGGCATTGAGTAGCCCTTTATGTAGTCACCAAATTTCCTCTGAACAAAGTGATCACCCGAGTTTGACCTTGATCTTCCTGTTACTTCTAGTGTACTTCTAG